GTATATTTATGATGGTATTTGCATCAAACTAGAGTTCAATTTCCAATCTTTAGGTAAGTGTAGTACAAACTTTTTATGCTGTTTTCCCAGTTTACTGTAAATAGTCTTCGATTCATGTAGTTGTGAGGTACTCCCAACAGCTATGTTTTTCTTCAAGGTTAATTCAATTATATCATTTTCTTCTTTCTTGTTGTTGTTGAAAATATACACACAGTAAAGCATACACCAATTCAACAATTTCTACATGTATAATTCAGTGACACTGATTACATTCTTCAAGTTGTGCTACCATTCTCACTCTCCTTTTCCGAATTGTTCCTTCCCCTTTAACATAAACTCACTGTCCCCCAAGCTTCCTACCTAACCTTTCCAGTTGCTGTTGTCAATTTGCTCCCATATAGACAGGGCTTTAAAACAGCACAATGCTCAAGGCAGACAGTTTTTACTAATTAAGCTAAACTATTCGTTGGCTTAAAGAAGACTTCAGGGGATATTTTTGGTTTATGGTTTAAAGATTATCTCAGGGCAATAGTTTCGGGGGTTCACTTAGAACAGCTATGTCTTTACTATGTGACCCTGATTTCCCTGTTATAGCTGCTTAGACACAATATTTTCTTCCTGGGGATTTGGAAGTAGGACTGAGAGACTGCAAATCAATCCCTTTGAAAGGCTGATTCTTCAACACATAAACTCTGGCATTGTAGGGAGACCATTTTCTGGCCACTGTGTGGACTAAAGGAGCCCTGGTGGCGAAATGGTTAAGTGCCCAGCTGCCAACCAAACAGTCAGAGCTTCGAACCAAAAGGTCAGTGGCTCTGCGGTAGAAAAGACCTGGTGACCTGCCTGGGAAACCTTATGGGGCAGTTCTGCCCTGTCATATAGTGTCACTGTAAGTTGGAATTGACTCCATGGCACACAACAACAAGAACAACATGGGGACTAAGGAGCAGATAAAACCAGCCACTGGTTTTCAAAGATAAATAAAACAGAGCTGGAAGAGTTGTCTATAATTCCATCTGCATCCTCTTCCCCTCACTTCACATGACCAATTTCAATCTCGCTTTAGTCCTCTTTCTGCCAAAACAACTCTTACTGAGGAGACCAATACCCTCCACGTTGTCCAGATTTCTTCTTTGGCTATAGACTCGATTGCCTACTTGATGCTGCCACTAAAAAAATCACAAAGGAATGTCAAACTCATCACATCTAAAGAGAACTAATGATCTTATGTCCCATTAGATTCAAATCCTCTACTAAGATTTTTTTTTTTAATCCCAGTGACTACCAACAGCTTCTCTCCAGTTTTGCAAACCAAAAACTCTAGGAAATATTTTTGACACCTCCATTGTCCTTGCTGCCATCTATTACGAAGTCCAGTCGATTGTAACTCCTAAATATATATCAGATTTATCTTATCTACTTGTCTCCATCTCCCCCACCCACTCAAGGCCTCCATTCTACTGTTGTCTACTGACTCGACTATTCTAATTCCCTTCTACCTGCTCTCCCTATATGTGTTACTGACCCTTTCCAATCTACCCTCCATATTCCAGCTAGTGTGATCTTTCAACATGCAAATCCGAAAAGGTTACTTTCTACCTTATTTAAAATCCTTTTATGTTTTCCTTTGCTCTTAGAGCAGAGGAGAAAAAAACCTTACTATGTTTATAAAGCCCTAAAAAGTCTAGCCCATGTCTACTTTTCTACTCCCGCTTGGCACCACTTCCCCGTTTTCTGCACTCCAGACACAGTTAACACAAAAACAGCTGCCATCAAGTTGACTGTGACGCATGGCGACCCCACGTGTGTCAGAGGAGAACTATGCTCAATGGCTGTGATCTTTCAAAAGCAGATAGCCAGGCCTTTCTTCCCAGGTGCCTCTGGGTGAACTCAAAACCACCAACCACTTGGTTAGTAGCCAAGTGCTTAACTATTTGTGCCACCAGGGACCCCCAGACACAGCAGCCTCCTTTTAAGTCCTTTATGCTGCTCTCTCAGCCTGTAGACAGGCTTTCTCTAGTCTCTTCACTTGGTTACCCCATACTTCATTCTTTATAGCTCAGTCCGCATGCACTGGTCTAGGTCAGGTTCCCTCTGCTCCAATACACTTTAGGATACGCTGCAGTTTAAACCTGTGGGTACCTAGTGAAAATGAGCAACCAAAAAAAGAAAGAAAAAACCCAAACCCATTGCCGTTGAGTCGATTTTGACTCATAGCGACCCTACAGGACAGAGTAGAACTGCCCCATAGGGTTTCCAAGGAGCAACTGATAGATTCAAAATGCCAACCTTCTGGTTAGCAGCCAAGCTCTTAACTACTATGTCGCTGTAGCATATTAATATGACTGGATGTTAGACAATTATGTCAATATTCATATACAATAAAAATTATTTTTATTTTCACTTTGCAAATGTTTAACATTCACTGACCATACCTTGAACCCAAACGGCATTCAACTGATTTTTTTGCTGAGATAAAAACAAAAACGTTCAATGAAATAAATGTCCTCGCTAACCTGACTTTATTCAGGATTCAGTGGAAGCAATAACTATCACAATTGTGCAATGAGGCTACAGGGACTTAGAAGTCTTTGGGGTAGTCAGAGCTTAGGGGAGGGAGCCTACAGTCTGAGGGCTGCAGCAGCCTGTTGCTTAACTTACTGCTGGGAGAGGAGGTGCGGGGAGCAGTCTACTTTCCCATGGCAGATGTGCTAATCCTTCTGGATTTCATGCTTAGCCTTTGGTTGATTTTTATTTGTGTGTGTGAGCTGCAGTGAATTTTTTCCCAAACCATGTCCCATAAAAGAAAAGTAAAAGTTTCTAATTTTTATGCCATAAGCAAGGGAATTACTCATACAATAATAATCCATAGACCTAGCACAGTAACTGGCAAATAAACCAGAGCTAGTTGTTGTCTAGTCAATTCCAACTCACTGCAACCCCTGTGTGTCAGAGGAAAACTGTGTTCCACGGAGTTTTCAATGGCTGTGATCTTTCAGAAGCAGATTTCCAGCTCTTTCTTCTGAGGTGCCTTTGGGTAGATTTAAGCCACTAACCTGTCGGTTAGTAGCTGAGCGCTTAACCATTCGCACCACCCAGGGCCTCCTGATTGGCACACAAAAACCCAAAACCCAAACTTGTTGCCGTCAAGTGGATTCTGACTCATACTGACCCTATGTGACAGAACAGAACTGCCCCATAGGGTTTCCAAGGAGCGGCTGGTGGATTTGAACTGCTGACCTTTTGGTTGGCAGCTGAGCTCTTAACCACTGCGCCACCAGGGCTCCAACTGGCACACAGTGGGCACTAAATAAATATTTGTTGAATGAATGAACAGAACATAATAGTCTTAGGTTGTGAGTGAATTGTGTACCCCAAAAAGATATGGTGAAGTCCTAACCCCCAGTACTTGGGAATGTGACCTTACGGAAAAGAGAGTCTTGACAGACGCAAAGTAAGGTCATGGTGGATTACTGTGGACCCTAAGACCAAAATAATGGATGTATTTATAAGAGAAGAAAGTCTGGACCCAGAGACACATCGAGGTGAACATCATGTGAAGACGGAGACAGAGTCTGGAGCGACGCGTCTATAAGCCAAGGACTGCCAAGCACTGCTGGCAACCACCAGGAGCTACAAGAGAGGCATGGAATAGATTCTTTCTCAGAACCAATCTGCCAATATCTTGGTATTAGACTTCTAGCCTACAGAACTGTGAGAGAATAATTTCTGTTGTTTTAAGCTACCCAGTTTGTGGTACTTTGTGACAGCAGCCCTAGAAAACCTCTTAGAACCAATCTTCTTAGTTCACTGCATTCTAGAACAAGGACATTTACTGAAGTCTGCTCAGTAGTTAAACTGTTCTTTATCATCAGTACATCCCTTACATCCACAGACAGGAAACAGCAGGAGGTGGTGTCTACAGAAAGAGTTTTGAGATTTTTATAGAATAAGTATTCCTCTAACTTTTTTTAACCTTCAGAGAACCTTACCACTTATATTTCAATAGCAATATACTAGCCAGTGAGTACATTTGCTGATCTCTCATTTCTCCACTGATGTGGGTAAATTTTCCTTTCATTGCCTTTGTCAGGGAGCCCTGGTGAAGAAGTGGTTTAAGAGTTTGGCTGCTAACCAAAAGGTCAGCAGTTCAAATCCACCAGTTGCTTCTTGAAAACCCTCTGAGGCAGTTCTACTCTGTCCTATAGGGTCGCTATGAGTCAGAATCAGCCCAACAGAAATGGGTTTGTTTTTTTGGTTTTTAGCGTTCATCAGAGGTCAAATGCAAGAACACCAAAATGGCTTGTAACCAATTTATTTAATATTGTATCAGTAGATAGAAAATTCTGTCATTATTTGAAGTGACATAAGAACAAGAAATCTTAAAAGCTACTACCATATTTATATATTGCTTCCTTTTAACATATGACTTGAAAGCATATATTTGGACACAGACTCTCTGCCTTACCTCTGCATTAACTTCTTCCAGTATTTCACAGATACCCCTGGTGCAACTGACAGAGCTTTGTCCCACTAGGTAAGAAGAGAAGAAGAGCATAAGCGTATCTACTTTGACTGCATTGTCTAACCCTTAACAGACTCTGTTTTTTAATGAACTCATATTTATAACATGGAATTTTTTGAGTGCTTAGATTTACAGGAATATTTTTATATTCTATCTTGTGTATTCCACAGAATATAAGTATGATCAGATTTTAAAATAAAATGGTAAGATAAGTAAAATTATATTATTTAGCAGGAAAAAATCTCAAACCTAAAGAGAGTAAGAAAGAAAGAAAGAGGAGGAGAGAAGAAAGGGAGAGAGACAGAGAGCGAGAAAGACAGAAGACTGACAGCAACTGAAGTATGTAGTTTAAAAAATACATTAACTCATAGAACAACACCAGAGTCATCTGTTCTATGATCTACAATAATGTATACTGCAGTTTTTATTTCACCATTACTTATACTTAACAAATAAGCTTTTTATTCTCCCCTACTCATTTTTATAAATTTTGTCATTTCCTCCTTTACAATACTTGTCTCCATATTTTAAAAAATTAGACAGCTATTGAAGACGCTCATTGTTCAGCCAAGTCTGATGTGCTGTTTGATAATATGGATTTCAAGTCCGGAAGGGAACTGAAGAGAAAATATTCTGAAATACTACCACATTAATCAAATCTTCATTTTAATTAATGAACCCCCAAACACTAGGGTTCTACTATAATGAAGGCTAGCAAACTGGCAATTAACTTGAAAATAACAGGTTAAATTTTAAATAGGTATTTTTAATATTACATATTTGAATCACGTTACCTTCCTTTTTTTAAAGTAACTCTTACAAATATGTTTTTAGTGGAAATTTGTCTTTACGAGGTGGGGGCAAATGGAGGAAAGAAGTTGAAATGTAGACTAAATTAATTTTGAATTCATTGAGCTCTGTCAATGAAAACATATTTGGTAAGTGAAAAAAGATGAAATGTTTTCCCACCTCCAACAACAACCACCCCATAGCACGAAGCTTGCAGAAACAGAAACTATTCGTAAGGAGGTTGACAGTGAACACAGACAAAGACACCCATAATTATAAAGGACTGCAGGCACAGTTTTTAGAGCATTAAGTCCATGGATGAAACTACTCACCAACAAAATCAGTACACTGTACAAGTAGATATCTGATTGAGAGAGGCTTTAAAGATAGTTTAAAATTACATACATCCAAATGTACAACTCAGGCAGATAAATTGCAGTGTTCTACCAAAATTTATTCCTTTCTCCTTGATTTTTTAAAATAGCATTTTATTGTATTTTCAGTGAAAGTTTACAGAGCAAATTAGGTTCCCATTTGACAATTTCTACACAAATTGTTCAGTGACATGTTACATTCTGGTTATTCCATTTCCAGTAGTCAAGTTTCCCTGTCCCCTTAACTTCTCATCTTTGCTTTAGAGTAATTGTTGACCTTTCGGTCTCATAAAGATGGTTTTTCAATGGGGCGCTGTACTTATGGATAATAACCTTTATTTTGGGTGCCAGTCTGTTATTTCACTAAAAGGTGACCTCGGAATAGTTTCAGTTCAAGATTTAAAGAGCATCTCAGAGCAATAGTCTAGAGAGTCCTCTCATCTCAGCTGGTCCAGTAAGTCTGGGCTTTTTAAGAATCTAAGTTCTGTTCTGTATTTTTCTCCCATTGAACAGGGTCACTACGAGTCAGAATCGACTCAACGGCAATGGGTTTGGTTTGGTTTATCAGGGTCCATCTATCGTGGCCCTGTCACCTTGATTTTTGAAAAATTCTTTCTAGCAGTGCTGTTAAAAGTAACTTATATGTCAAATCTTTACTTGTTCAAGAGTAAAATTTTTACATTGCTCTTAAATTGCTGTTGTCAGCTGCCATGGAATCCGTCCCTTACTCCGCACAAAATGGGATCCAACCCTTAGTTGTGATCCATAGGGTGTTCATCGGCTGAGTGGTGGCAGGGCTTGAGGTGCACTGGCTGGGTCTCCTGCCTGGAAGGCAAGAATTCTACCACTAAACCACCAGGGCCCTTGCTCCCAAATTAAATACTTTCAAGTTTGCGATGCCTTTTCAATGACATTTATAAACGGTACATGTTAGTTTAGGTCAAGCAATAACTTATTGTTTGCCTCTGAGTGTACGGGTAAGTTAAAAGGTGACTTTAATTTGACATATTATAATGAAACTGTATTGCTTAGTTTTATTTTATTTATAAGTATTCTTAATATTATGTTTTATAATTATACAATTAACTAACCTACAACTTTTCAAAGGAGCCCTGGTGGCACAGTGGTTAAGCATTTGGCTGCTAACCAAAAGGTGGGCTGTTCAAATCCAGCAGCTGCTCTGCAGGAAAAAGATGTGGCAGTCTGCTTCCCCAAAGATTTACAGCCTTGGAAACCCTATGGGGCTGTTCTACTCTGTCCTATAGGGTTGCTAGCAGTCAGAATCGACTCAATGGCAACTTTTTTTTTTTCAAAAATGATAAACTGTGAAATGAGCTCATGACATCCTAACCTTTTTTTATTGGGGGAGGGACAAGCTATTGAATTAAAATATACATACGGAAAAGTGAAAAGCTCAAAGAATTTTCACAAACTAAATCTACTCCCGTGACCAGTACCCAGATAAAGAAACGTAATATAACCAGCGGCGCCTCTTCCTTCCGCTTCGTTCTAGTCACTATCCATTTCTTAAAGGTAACTACCATCCTGAACGACTACAGCAGACACTCCTCCCGACCTCTTCTGAAAAATCTGGTTTGTTGATTTAGTCCTCTATAAAAAATCAGGACATGCTTTAGGAGCATCCTTCACCAGGTGTTCCACAGTGGAAACTCCTCTTCTGGCAAATGTGGGACTGAGTTACGGCAAACAGCGTTAGCGAGAGGATCCCACTGTGAGCAAATCAGTCAATACATACATTTTCTTTTTTCAAGAAATGTGGATTCTATTCTAGGGAAGTGGTTCTCAAACTTTAGCATGCATAGGAACCACCTGGAGGGTTTATTAAGATAGAGATTATTGGCCTCCATCCCCAGAGCTTCTGATTCTATAGGTCTGGGATGGGGCTGGAAAATTTGCATGTCTAATAAGTTCCCAGGTGGTGCTGATGCTGCCGGCCTGGGGGTTCTTCTTTGAGAACCACTGTCCTAGGGTATACACCTGGTATCAGATTGGCATAGAACTAATTAGATTTGGGAAAAAATAAGCTTAATACTTAGTATTTAATTACTACTTAGAATACTTTGATAGACTCATTGATTTTACTTTAATAGCATATTACCTCTCCAAGTTCAACCAGAAGTTCACAATATCTCTGAATGTGTCCTAATCGCAAGTGTATCTCAGCAGCTTCCTTCAGTCTTTCTTCTTTAGTAGGTACACCAATGCCACCACCAAATTTGGACATCTTGACTGTTGTTAGTTCTTGGGCTTCAGACTGGTTAAAAAGAATACAAAATGTTCTAAAGTTCTAGCAATAACAGATGATCATAAAAGCATTACATAAATAAACACGTTTTAGAAGTACAGCACTGAAAATTAAATGTTAAGAATCAATACTCAAAGAGTAAACCCTAATGTAAACTTACAAACTTTAGTTAGTAACATGATACCCATACGGGTTTATCAATCGTAACAAATGTTCCACAGGAACGCAAGATGTTAATATGGTAGAAACAGTGCGCAGGGAGGAAAAGAAGTATGTGGGAACTCTCTGTACGTTCTGTGCAATTTTTCTGTAAATCTAAAACTTCTCTAAAAAATAAGTCCATTTTAAAATATAACGCTTTCTTGCTATAAAATATGAAACCTATTTAAACATAATATTTTGGTGTGGGTGATGGGGTGGAGACTCAAGAGGAGAAGCTGAATCCCATTGTTGTCAAAACTTTCCAGGTGTTGTGGTTATACAGAAGTCCAGGGACCAAACGGTAGTGATAAAGAACTGCAGTATACAAGCGGTCAAAAAAAAAAAAGTACTTCTTTATGAAAATAACTTCCCTTACGACCATCAGATCCACATCCCCAGCACAATTCTTTAACAGTTAAGTTAACCATTGATATTTCATTGCAAATGCATAAGTGATTCTTCTTTCTGGTTCCAGGATTAGTTTTGTTTCCATCACAGGGTATTGCGCTAGGTATAAGGTAACTACTAGTTTTGTATTGAGCTTCATTAACAGCTATAATCTGACCAATTTTAATACAAAAATCTCAGAATACAGCCTAGTAGGCTCTCTGAGAGTAAAATCAGGATAGTCCACATGTCACAATCATCTGGTAACAGGGTGAAGATAAAAAATTTCAAGGAGTTCCAAGTGACCTTTGAAGAATTTCATGAGATTCGAACCTATTCAAAACTATGGCTACCATAATTTGTTTGTAAATACTTCATACTCTCATAATTGGTTTGTCCAAAGACCTTCTCCTCGATGTTGACTTATTTCAGTCTGCCCATTGTAATCACATAGATTTTTAGCTTTTATCATTTATTTATCTTGATAGTGAAAAAGCAAAAGAAAATGTTTGCTTGAGCACATCATATGTGCATACTTTACTTACTGTTCTAAATTTAATCAGGTGTTTCAAATGCATTATTCCTTTAGAGTAATTCTGAGGAAGCAAGCTATCATCTTGCCCTTTTAACACAGCAACCAAGTTCCATAAATTGTTACTGCCACCTGGAGGCTAAAAAGTTGACATTGAATAACCAAAGATATAAAAGTGAACAAAAACCCACAGCATTTTGCAATTTCACAAATATTATAATGCAGGTATATTTAAATTGGAAAAGTACTAAAAGAACTATGCTTTATCTCATTTATTGTTTTTGGTTTTGCATTTGCTTTCTTACACTTTATCAGTTACGCTAAGAGGGACCCGCTGAATTGGAATGGCACATGTAAAATACATGGCCACTTAATGACTACAGTTGAAATGATTCATTTTGGCTAAGGAGACAAAGCTGACATTTAATTTCTGTTATACTTACTGATAAACATTCTGAAAACCACCTTAGTTTTTTCCCTCGAGGGTTCCCAGTTACTTTCTCTATTTCTTGTTTAATATCTCTCGACACTTTACCACACAATAGAGGAGGAGTGCCCTGTTCAATGGCATTATCTGAAGACAGACAACGTTCAGTGAGAAAAACTGCTTATAAAATATTGTTTAAAAATAAAATCTAATACACGCATCTGGTCAATACCAGTGTTCCCGATAATTTCTTCCCAGGACCTGTCTGCCAGAATATTTATCTGTAAAGGAGTGATCAGAGGTGCCAAGGACCAGAGTCTCACAGTAGAATCACGGGAGCAGGAGGCCATAGTGAAAGGACGACTCGGATGGCATGTCAAACCTGACAGAAAAGACAAACCCACATTAACTAAAGTTGACACTGAAAAAATACTTCTATTTTATATGCACCTCATAAAACTCCCACAGAACTCAAGTTGTGAAGAACCGTTGTGAATAACCTCAAGGGTCTCGGAGCCCAAGTACATTATAAATGCATTTAATTAAAATATTGGCCAAAAAAATAATACAAGAATGTAATGAATCATTTGGCATACTGTATAAATATGAACATAACATTGAATAATTATTAGAAAGCAAATGGTCCTTGATGAAAATGTTGAAAATATATTTCAGTCAGTTAAGCAGCAGATTTACTGTAATACCAGTAGGGTGCCCAGTAATCTGTGAATTAATCGATGGATGGATGGAAGTTACAGTTAGAAGATGAAGGAAGAACTGAGACTTATAAATTTAGAATATCAAGAAATGAGATTCTCTCTCATAGTCAATCCCACACTGCCTCAGCTAAAAAGCCACTGGAGTAAAGCAAATGGGTGGGAATGGCTGGATTAGGGTTACAAATGAGGGTCAAGTGATGTGCAAAAGATAATCTGACTTCCCATACCCCGCACCACAGTGCTGACAATTGTTATCTTCTGATAATTTCCGATGACTCTTTCTACTATTTTCTACATATTCTGATATTTCAATAATAAACATGCAATTTTCTAATAAAAATATTATTTTTAAAATGGAACACTGCAAGATATTCAAAATACCTGTTGCTCAGAAATTATAATATATCAAAATGACAAATAAATGAAAAACTTTACCATATACATCTGCACCATGATCATACACAGTATCCAAGCAAGTTCCTTCTCGAATGTCCCATACTTTTATAGTGTAGTCCCAGCTACCAGATATTAGTAGATAAGGAATTTCAGTATTCCACATTAATCCCCTTACGGGTGCGGTGTGTCCACTAAGAATATTTATGCAAGCATCTTGAGTATAATCCCAGATTCGAACAGAACTGAAAACAGAACATCATACTTCATTCAAGGTATAAATTTATCTTAAGTATTAACATATTCTTAATGGAGTACAATGACTATCTTAGTATATATAGAAAGCATTTTATGTTTTAAGATATATTGAGATTCTTTTATTTATAGAAGATAGAAATGAATATTTAACTAGGCAAGAGTTAGCCTAT